AAATCAAGGAAATTCCAACCCAATATAGAAGTATTCTAGAGAGAGGGGAGAGGAGAGAGAGTGTATCTCTATGTGTTTGAAACAGATAGAGGGAGATTTTGCAAAATATAGAGGTATTCCAGATAGAGAGAAAGAGAGAGGGATAGATATTTCGCACAATAAAGTACTCTAGAGAGAGAGAAACATGGAGATTCTGCACAATAGAAGTATTTTAGAGAGAGAGATTTCACACAGTACAGATGTTTTCTAGAGAGAGAAAGCAGGTTGTTTGGTGAAAGAAAACCAGTATTTATAGCAAACAAAGAATGAAGGAACAAACCAAAAACTTGGAGCATTTTTGGGGGATCCGGCATTTTTTGAGCGCACTCCGGAGTTCATAGTCCGCCATTTATGAAACCCGATCCAGCAAAACTAAAACTCACTCCGGCAGTTTTTGAAAGCACTCTAGAGATTATTAGTTCACTGTAAAAAATCAGTCCGACACCTGTAAAAAGCACTCCGGCAAAATTAAAAATCACTTCGGCGTTTCTTGAATCCACTCCGGAGATTGATTCACTATTAATAGGCAGTTCGGAATCTAGAAAACGCGCACCGGCAAAACTAAGAAGCACTCCAGCATTTTTGGAATGCACTCCGGAGAATGTTTGTTGTTAAATAAGCACTTCGACATCTGTAAAATGCACTCCAGCAACATTAGAAAGCACTCCATCATTTGCTGAAAGCACTCTGGAGATTAGTTCACTGTAAAAAAGCAGTCCGACATCTGTAAAAAGCACTCCTGCAAAACTAAAAGGCACTTCAACTTTTCATGAATTCACTCCGGAGATTGATTCACTGTTAATAGCCAGTTTGAAATCTAAAGAACACGCACCGGCAAAACTAATAAGCACTTCGGCGATATGTTTCCTGGATACACAGGCACTTCAGCCTGGTGTTTTAGATATTCGATCCGGCATACTGTTTTCTCATAAGCACTCCGACGAATAATAACCACGGTCCGGTGTTAATGGAAATTGGGATCCGTTCGTAGGATTTGATCGCACGTTCAAGGTACGTGAAGGTGTATTTTTAGCAAAAAAAAAAAGCCTTTTTTAGTTGGGCCCGGGGGGGTTGTTTAGTAAGAAAAGTTGGTTTAAAAAGCATTTTAGTAATTTTCCCAAGAAACAACGTCAAACAAGAGAAGCCCCTTATATATTTTATGGAACTGCCCCCTCTTCCACAATCAAACACGCCGTTAAGGGCTTGTTTATGTAGGAATTTTTTTTTTAAAAATTGTTTCATGTGACAAGGACCGCATTTCTACATTTATGGTCCTCGAGGTACAAAGAATCCATATTTAAAGATGGATGCAAATAGGTGATCCATATAAAAAAAAAAATTGAAGCTCACTATCCGAATGTTCTCTAAATGGAATTATTATTTTCAAATTTCAAATTTTATTTATTTTTTCATATTTATGATCTCCATGTTAGAGATTACATGTCTTTAAAATTAAATAAAAAAATCCATCTCAAAAATAAATTTTTAAGAGGTGGTTCATTTCTACATAGAAACCGTGTCCTCTTTTTTTTTTTTGCCGAGTTTTTAAAATTTATGTAGTTCTCCAAATTCATTTTTTTTCTTTATGTTGCCCTTTTTTCAATAGAAATCTTGATTTCCTATTGCCCTTTGTCTCCAAATCCCAGACCCTAAAACAGTAGATTTCCTATTGCCCTTTGTCTCCAAATCCCAGACCCTAAAACAGTAGAGAAACCCGTATCGTCTCTCGTATATGAGTTCCTCTTTCCCCTCCTCTCTCCAATCCCTATTTTGACCTCCTGTTCCCCGATTCAAAGACCTTCACGTTGTTTCTCTTGAAATTGTTTATCCTTAATAATTTGTCCTCCTAGTGTTTCTCACAATGTTTCAAAACCTAGATTGGTTGGGTGGATGTCCACCCCCACATATCTGTATTGGATTGTCACATTGTAAATCCAAATATGTCTGAATTAGCAATCCAGAAAAATATTGAAAAAATCACAAAATCAAAAAACTAAAATAGAGATTTATGGGTGGATTTAGGGAGGGATCTTAAAAGAATCAGGTAAGCTTAAAAAAAAAAAAACTTATTCCTTGTTCCTTTTTTTTTGGTTTTTTATGTTTAGGGAGGAATATCAATACCTTCTCAAAACCTGTTTGGTCCTGACCAATCTCCAATCCAAATAAGTGGGTTTTAAATACTAATTTCTCTTTAAACATTCTGCATTATAGTTGTCGCCCACATAATAAGTGGCCCATGATATAGGGAAACGCTCGTGAGCTCATATTCAAATGCAACCCCCTTCCAAGAAAAAGTATTTTAGGATAGATTTAAGATCTGGGAAGCATCGTAAGTCCCTCTAGATCCAATTTTATTAATTATTATGCAGCTCAGAATAATTGTTGATCTCATGATCTTCGATAATTTTGGTACAGTGATGAACTGTCCTCAAACAAAGTTTGAAATAGTATCGTCTTATATTCAAAATTATTTATTTCCACATCCTTGTCAAAGTTCAAAATCCGCAACTAAGATGGAACTATAGAGGAGAGTGTATTTCAATAGGTGCATTGGTGAAACACCAAAAAAAATCCTCTCTTAAAAAGATGTGGTATTTGGATGGGGCTTTTAATGCAGCCATGAATTGTGACCGCTTTGTACGAAAGATAAATAGTATTATTATATATATATTTTATAATAAAACAACATAGTTATACAAAAGGGATTAAATTATCTTAAAAAACCTTAAGATGATTCAAAATAACCCACTTACCACTGCATGTTTCGTTTTTAAGTTTCATTTACTGTATAGTTATGTTCTCAAAGATTTGTTCAAAAAATTGAAATATCTAGGATATTTTGGTAAATTGGCCCATTTAGATCGCTCAAGCCAAATTACAATAATATGCATAGTTGTTCAAAGCAACTAGGGCATTTTCTTCATTTAGCAATACCTAAACAATCAAGGGTATCATCATAATTTAACTAACGGTGTTTTTATCATTCAAACAGTCTTGTGTTAATATCGGGTGATTATCATGACTTGCCTCCGGTCACTTGAGCCAAATTATCAAAATACCTCTAATTGTTCAAGATTCCTAATGCGATGCATAAATAATTGTGAATATCTTAATAAATTTCTTGAAGCAGTACTTTTATTTAATAGAAGGTGTGAACAAAAATGAAATCTTTGTGCTATTTTAAAGAAAATATGCAAAGAGAACATTTATTTTCAATACAATGATAATGAATTTAATGTGTCCTTACGTTCAAAAC